GGTCTTAAAGTTAGCGTTAAAAGAAGAAAGGCTTTACTCTTAGGTTCTCTCTGGTTCTGCGAATACTCAGGCAACACGTCCATTAAGTTTTGTAAATTATACCAATAAAAATTTTTTGTACTTAGCTGCTTGTAGATATGTGAATTCAGGACTATCAACACAAAAAAAATAAAAATTACACCAAGTCATGACTCTTTACAAGCCATGTATAGCTACACACAAAATATATGTTAACACCCCTTAAGAAGATTGTTAAAAAAAAAAGTTCCTAAAATTTTCTTATGCAAAATCATTCACAGCAGACAAAATGCGCGTAGCCTAATTAGCTACACACAGCAATTGATCCAAAAAGGAAGGCATTACCAGAATTTGATTTTTTTTTTTTTTTAACTTACAAACTGAGCTGATTGATACTCAAATGAAAACAATGAAATCTTACAAAATGCACATATATGTTGGGTGAATGCATATGGATGCAAGTATCTTGTTGAGTGAAAAACTAAAAAGATTAATACCGTGCATAGATTGTAAAATTTAGGATTTTAAGATTTTATTAAGAATATATTTGGTTTGAAAGAAATAAAAACTAAATATACTCTAAAAAATCATTTTTTTGTCTGATTTAATTGTTTTAATTTAATTTTTACATAAACTCTGACTATATAATTTTACACAAATACATACTAGTAATGATATAAAATTTTTTTATATACATAAATTGAATATTTTCACTTAAATTAATTTATGTTTTTAATTATAATTTGTTTAGATTCATCAAAAAAAAAAAAAATTATAATTTGTTTAGGAGCTTTTGGCAGCCATCAAAATGGAGACCTACCATAGTGGCACAATCTTTCAATAACAAGATATGATAAGCAAACTTGTGAAACCCAAGGTAGGTCTCACTGAGCATGCCAAAAAGAGATTGTTTCCTTTAAAATCTCTCTTTTTGATTGTGTGGTAGATAGGACTGTGAAGGAGTACCACTCACCCTATTCAAAGTGAGAAAGAGGAATGTCCAACAACCTTCACTACTTCCAAATATGAAACTGGATAGTTGCAAGTTGATGGAAAAGTGTTGGTTAATAATTGATGAGATGTGCCATAGTAAGATGACTGATGTAGAAACGGGAGTGCATTTTTGCATAAAGATCCATAAACAATTGCTTTGAAAGAACATTAGAGACTTTCTACAATTAGGGCCAAAATGTTGGTTTCTTAATCAAGATAAAAGGGAAAAAGAGAGGAAAATAGAATGTATGGTAGAAACTAAGAAAATAAATTGCTGGTAGTATGAACACTATGCTAACAACATGAAGTGAAAATTAACAAAAGTTGAAGAAACATGGATCTAAAGAAGATTTCACTAAATTGACTTTCAAGAAATCAAATACATCATTGAAGAAGCTTAAAATAAAATGACAAATATTAGATCTAGAGCTAGTGGTAGCATAGAGCTAACAATTAAACTAAGAAAGCTATTTAAGAAAGTTAAAGCTAAACTAAGGTATAGTTTGGAAAACTTGTGAAAATCAAATTGAAGATAGTGCTAGGCTAATTTGAGAGGGGTAGGCTTGCTTTGCTAGGCTTAATCTTCGTGTATTTATAGTGAAAAATATCCCTACCAGCATGCTGAGAATCTGCAGCAACATGAAATCCACAACAATCCAATTGCTATTTATGTGGCAACAAACATTTGCATTGATTAGAAGATAAGATCATAACTGTTGCTGGCTCTTGACTCCTTCAAAACTTAATTTGTTACGCACTACTGCAGGAATGGGATTTCCGAATCGAAATATCGGTCCGGATATATAGGAAATCGGTCTGAATATATATATCCGGACCGATATTAGTCCTTATAGTTGATCTGAAAAAACCTGGTACGAATAAGTCTAATATACAGACCGATGTAGAATCGGTTCGTATATATATACTATCCGGACCGAAATCGGTCCGGATATTTCAGTAAGAAATATAAAT